TTTGCATTGTATTAAGATATTTTTTTTTTTACTTTAGTTATTAAAGCATCTGAGTATTTTCCACATTTATTACCTGGAGTTCCAAAACTATGGATTCATGTCCTCTTTCTGTTTACTAATACTAGAGCCTCCACAGTGGTGGTTTTCCCTGTATAAGCTCTTTACAGTGTTTAAATAGTAAGTTTTTGTGTTCAAGCTATAGTATATAGTACTTTTTTTTTTTATTTTAGTAGAGTGGGTTTTAAAGAGATGTTGATTAGTCAGATTGATTATTTCCTTTATACTTTTTTCTATTGCTTCAAAAGATGATGCAGACCATAGAGCTATTTGCCCCCTTCCTTTGCAGTATGTTTCTTATTCACATCTAAGTGAATCTGACCCTCCCAAACATGAAAGGGAAAAGGTGACTGTTTTGCTTCTGTTTGTAGAGACTGCAGACACCTTTCCACATCAAGTGGCAACTTGTATCTATACAAAGCCGGGGTACACTGTGCTAAGAAACACTGTCCCCGTATGTTATGTTAACATAACAAACAACATAACAAAATACCAGCTCCTTTATCTTGGAGTTTAATTAAACACTTAACCTTTATATTCTTAAGTAAGGTAGAATGTAAGCTTATTTCTTCATACACAGAGAAAACAGAGGCTGAGGGTCATGGTCAGAGAATGACTCATGTTTTTGGGATCAGCACCAGAATACAAAAAAAATTAAGGATGTCTACCTTGAGGGAGCTATAATCTTGCAGGAGACACACAGAGAAGTAGCAGTACTCTATGCATGGGAATAGAGAGGGAATCCGAACTGTTTGCATGGTAAGCGGTAAGTGTCCATGCAAGGGACCTAGTCTGACCAGGACAGCCCTGCCTCAGAAGCATCAAGGTGGCCCAATCCTCAGCATATGGTGTTAATCTAGGTTCTGTAATGCAGCACAGAGCTTAAATATGCCTGAAAACTTAGAAAAACTCATATTTTTTAAAACATGGTTCAATTACTCATTCTAGGTTTCTTGTTCAATTTTAAGGTTTTCTTTTTGCCAACAATGCCCATTTCATCTTGATTTTAATAGTAATAGGTAGATGGTAGTAGCAGGTAGGAAGACATACACAGTATGTCTTCACGTTTCCTGTTTGAAAAATTGCTGGGTTTGCTCTTCCCTCATTTCTACTCTTGATGTACTTGAAATCCCACCTCTGAATCCCTCTGCCAGTGCTGCAAAGAAAAGCGTTTGCGTGTGCAGTTCTCACACTGCGGCTGAAGAGGCCCCCCCAACCTGTGGAGGAGAGAGGAGCTTCGGAGATCCAGCTGGTGGCGGGCTGTTTCTAAAGGAACGCTTACACCACTCACTCGCATGTGCTAGCAACTGGACGGTCCGCCGAGGACTTCTGGCTCTCTGCTCCCAGTCAGGTGGGCTTGCACTGCCCAGGTACTGTGGTTGGGAGGGACCAGGTGGCTGTGGGTAAGTAGCATGTGTCATCTAATGGTGGATGCACCATCCACCAGGTTCAAGTAGAACAGGAGCCAGTCTTTGTTGTTACAGCTCCTGAGGTTGGGGATTGTCTGCCTCTTAGGAATAATCTGACAGACTGTATAATACATTTAGTCTTTTATCTGTTTTACATATTGGGGAATTATCAAAGATTTTGCCTGATGGGGGGAAATGTTCTGCTAGAAGAAAATTAAATTTGGGTTTAGTCATGGGAGATCATCTTGCAGGGAAGACAATGAAAGGCAAGGTTTACATCAGTGATTTTCACACTTACAGATTTTACAAAGAGTTGCATTCTGGGGAAAGAAATACATGACTGCCTTAAGACTGGGCAAGAAATCTGCCAACCAAGACAACACATACACACAAACTAAATATTAACCAATGACCTTCCATTTAGTATCAGTGATACCATATGCAATAAAGGATATTTTGACCTTAAGGAGGACAGGGTCTCAGATGAAAGGAGACACCCTTTCCCGAAGCTAAACACAACTAGCTTCATGGAAAGCTTACTACACTGTCCTTGCTTCACTTTGCCACTGGTTAGAGAAAACCTCTTCACAGATTGTCACTTGCCAGAGGACTGGTTTTTGGGAACCATGGGTCTAAATTCCGCCATCCAAAGGCCGTGCCTTGGGTGTGAGCACGCAGGCGGCTGGGTCACCCGCCGAGGAGAGGGATACACTAGGCACTTGTCAAGCCCCACGTGGGACTCCTGAGCCTTCCATCCCAGAGACATGGACCCTGACTGCCCCACCTCATGAAGCGCTCTCCTCATCTGTGCTGGGAGGGCCCCGTCTTCCCTGCCCAGGTCCTCATGAGGATTAAATGAGGGAACACACAAAGCTCCTGGCTGGTAGCTGGCTGTGTCCTTCACGAGCTCTGCCCAGGGTCTCAGCCCTCCTACAGGACTGCTCCCAGCACTGCTTCCCGGGTGCTGCAAGCCTCTCTCACCCCAACATGCACTCCTAAGTGTAAGAGCTCCTGAGCTGAAGCAGGAGGCCCCACTTATCCTCAGATTCTTCTTTCTGAACATTGACTGAGGTCACCTTTTTAACACCAGCATGTTCAAAACCAAAGCAACCACTCATTCTACAATCCTGTGTGATGCAGGCCTCCGTCTTGGGGAGGAATTTCTACAGCAGTTTCAGAAGCTTTCACAAAAGCAGGGAGGGAGGGGAGGAGATAATCTGAACACGTAACCATGTGCCCAGGCTCTTCACACACACCCCACAGAATCTATGCAATTATTTAACAAATTATGTGACAGGAAGGAATGAGGACCAAAAGCAGCCATTACTACTGGCTCTATCCCTCAAGAGTCTTAGCAATGCCACTTTTCTCCTCCATATGCTCAGGCTATTTTTGTTTTTAAAGAAAAGATACGTGTGCTGTACTTAAAGACACAGGAGGGCCCTGGGTTAACTGAAGACAAGGTATTCCTCTCAACAAGCCCTGGGACTTTCACACAACCCCAGCTGCTATTTCAATGCTATCCATTGTACAGAGAGATTCCAGGAAAGGGTTGGGGACCATGGGAAGGCAAGGGCTTTAGGCTCAGGTTCTGGGATCTCCAGGTTGACAGCTGATGTAAGACAGCAGTCCATGTGCGTCCTCCATTTCCTGTGCACGAGGACACTGCACGCCTGATCCACTTTCAGGGGACAAGGGAGTCTAAGGCTAAAGCCACAGGGACTTCTCATCTCTTACTGCAGACAGGATCTTCACATCAACCATGAAAAGGCGCAAACCTGCGTTGGCTCAGTCTGCGCTGGTGAGACGGCCCGGGAAGGCCCAAGACCAAGAACTGGACTCTGAGGGGCCAGCATGTCCTGTAGTCCAAAGGCCCCATCTGCAGACTCCACCAAGCTCTGGAAAAGGCACTGCCAGGGTCACTCCAGAGTTGCCCCCAACACAGTGAATTTTCAAGTCACTGATGGCTCCCAGGGAGGGCAGCAAAGTGTGGGGGTTAGGAACGGAGTGCTGGAGTCAAGGGTTCAAAGGCTGGCTTGGCCCCAAACCCAGCAGCCACACCTGGGGTGACCAAATGGGCTTCAGGTTTGTTATATGTCCCATAAGGATGATAACAGGTCATAGAGATGTTGAGAGGAGCAAATGAGGTCACGGATAGGAAGTGATAAAGAGCGCCTGGCCCACAGTAAATGCTCAAAAGTGTTCACGCTGACACACTACATAACGGCATCGTCTGCACTAATGATAAAGTCAATCATCACATCATGAGCTCTGCCCACTTCCTTTCCTGTGCCTACTGATGTGACAACAGCCCTGAAGGAGAAATGCATCTGTTGCTTCTTACTCATGGAGCCTGTGGATGGGACGTACAGTGCTATCACCTAAAGTAACGAGCACTGCCCCTTCACAGAAGGTGCTGCCACTTCCCCACTTACCTTTTTCATTTCTTTTTCTGCCTCTTCCAAGGTAGATTCTGTATCACAGATCAAAAAACTCACCCAATATATAAAACTTCAAAGGGTTCCTTCCCACTTCTGCCTCAGGTGCTGCACCCACTCTCCACAGGAACAGCCCCTCTTCCCTCCTGCGGCCTCACAGGGCAGCGGCGGGCACGCCAGCCAATGTGAGCAGGTGCTCAGTGCCTCCTCTCCCATGCACATGCAGCACACTCAATGGACCATCCTGCGCTTTGCTGCGACCCCTCCTGGAAATTCTCCCAGAAGCCAGGGAGAACCACAGCTGACCAAACGCCTCCTCCAGACACTCGGCTTGAGTGTTCATCTGGTCTGAGATGAGTTCATCTTGGTCAACTCACCTGCAACCTGCATGGACTTGTTATACGCAAGACTCCAGATGTGGAGACATATGTATACAAGGGGCACGTATGTGCCCAAAGGAACATTTTGTGGAAAATCAAAAATGAGATGGGCTCCACTGGTATGTGCTGAGCTTCTGCCAAAGAGCCATCTGAATTCACTTTGGCAATTACCATGGAATTACTGCCAAGCACATCATCCCATGTGAGGCTTCATGCAACAGATTTCTTTGAAAGCTCACTGTTAGGAGATTGCCTTTCCCTGGGGGTGCCACGTGAGCTCCCTCATGGCCTCGGCTTTCTAGGAAGCTGACAGACTGGTGCTCAGTCATGAAGGTAATCAGCCCTCTTGATGAACTATGTGCCCTTCCTGTATCCCTGGTCCTGTTCTTTCTATTCCCATTTCTCTACCAATTTCCTGACCCCATGTCCCAGGGGACATCTGGTAATGTCTGGAAACAGTTTTGGTTGTCTTGGCTAGTTGGGGTGCTTGGTCTCAATGGGGGAAACCAGGGATGCTGCAGCAGGCCCATAGCACCAGGACAGCTGTTGTCAGCCAGCATTTCAGCAGGACCAAGCTGGGAGACCGGCTCAGAGCTTGCTGACACTCAGCCTCCGTGAGAAGCCTGGGTGGGGAAGGTGGGTGTGCTCCATGGGTGGCGCACAGTGCCGGGAGGCGGGTGCCGAGGGGTGCGTGTGGAGACGCAGGCATAGTGTACCTTGAGGAGCCTGAGTGCGGTCAGCCAGCATGCCCGGCCTTGCTCGTCTTCTGCACACAGCAGCCGCAGCTCTTTCGTCTCGTTCCTGACTTTGTTTGGCTAAAGGAGGTAAAAGAATACCCAGTGAGTGTTAACACCATGGACCAGCCGTGCACCCCAGGCCAGGGCAGGGCTGAACCTGCCGCACACATGGCCATGCCCACTGGATGTGATGGGGCGGGGCCAGGCCGGTGTGCACACACCCAGGCATCAAGCCCAGGGCAGGGCGTCCTTGTTTTGGACTCAGCTGAGTGATCCAGCCATCCTGTAACAGGGGTCTCAGAGGAGACAAACAGGAAAGTACCCACCGCAAGAGCAGGCGGCGGGCAGGACAGGGCTGGGGCCGTGAGCCCTGCGCAGGAGGGTTGGGCTCTGTGGAGGGAGGGTCTGCCCGAGTTCGACAAGGAAGGAGATTTATGATGGCCTCCCTGGAAGACTGAGGAGGTGGCTGGAGGAACAGCCCCTGCAGGGCTTAGCCAGCAGGGAGAAGCCGCTGGAGGATGTGAGTGGCCCCAAGGTCAGACCCTGCAGGGAGCTCAGAGAGTGAGACCAGGGTTGCCCCAAAGAAGGGGACTGACATGGGGCAAGTGGCCTGAGGCAGGAGGGGCGGCCATCAGAGCTCCCAGCACTGACAGGGCAGTGCCTCCACCCGGCGGCTGGACCTACTTGGTGACAGAGGAGACTACTGCAGGCTCTCCATTGGGGGAATCTGCAGGGGGAGCCAGGGACACAGTGACAGCCCCTGAGACTGCCCGCCTGCAGAGCAAGCACCACCACAGGAAGGGAGGTGTTAGCTCCAGGCTCCTCCATGGGCCACGTTCCCACCGTGGCTTCCTGAGCACCTTGGGCCTTCAACTAGTTTGAAGTAGGCTCCTATTACTTGCAACCCAGAGTGAAGTATAAGACGGTATTTTAGGATGGGATGTCTCCCGTCCTCCTCCTCTCCTCAGGATGGAGCCGAGCTCACTCAGAAGTTAGCCCTGTTGAGTGACTCTGGGCACACTCACTGGTTACCAGACTTGGGCAATGGTGCTGGCTCAGTTCCCACCCCATAAGCACCTGGGGAGACTCATTAAGAAGATGGAGGGAAACCCTCAGCAGAGCATCTCGTGCAGAGTGAGTATTCAGATTGTCTATTATGATGACCAACATCACCATAGCCTGGGCAGGGGAGAAGAGTGACCCTGTCCCTAGGGTGTGTGTGTGTGCATCTTTGTATTCATGTAGGTGTGTGCACGCAGATCTGTGTGTTCACATAGGAATGCACATGTCTGTGTGTCGATATGTGTGAGCATGTGTCCTCATATGCATGTGTGAAGAGGGAGGGCAGTGCTGTGGTCACTTTGCCCTACTGTCTGGTGACTGGAAGCCCACATAGTGTCAGCTCACTCAGTACCCTGGAGACCACCCCAGTGACAAGGTGACAGGCTGGGGGTCACTAAGGCACTGAGCTCATCAATGGGCACTGTCCATCTTTTGCTCTTCTGAGTTACTTAAGGAATGACACATCATAAGCACATAAGGAATATTTTTTACATGATGAATAAATCCAGTGGGAAACTGTTTCTGATTAAAAAAAAAAAAAGCAACAACCAAGAGAACAGTTAACTGTTTCCTAGTTTCCAGCGCATTGCTAATGGAGTGGTAGCCTCCAGACAGGGCTTCAGGTGGAGTACCTTGATGCAGAAGCCGAAGTCTGTGGGGGCGCTGTACTGCTTCTTGCCAGTGATCAGGGAGAAGATGCTGCTGTCTTCCAGGTCAGCCAGCAACTGCAAGTGTCGGGGCTCCTGTGGAAAGGCTGGTATCAGACACACTCTGGGGAGCTCACACAGCGCAGAGCAAAATGTTTTCACGTGCTCATCAACAGAGGGCAGTCTGTGCATGCTTTCAATGCTCCCCCTCTGACATTCCACAGATTCTATGTACTGTATAAAGTAAGTGCTAAATTAAAACCAAATTCACCCAACCCTCCCTGAAAAACCCACCTCCCAATTCTCAGACAGAAGACTACTAGAATGCACTGATACCCTGCTCAATCAAAGCCGCTGGACAAACAGTCTAGTGAACACCAGGAGGAAACCCGGAACCCAAAGGCCAAGGAGCACGCTCTTGGATGCCAGACCCACACCACCTTTGCTGTGTTGCGTTCACAGTCCAGCTGAACCTGCAGTTTCCCCTTGACAGCCTGCCTCATGGTTCCTTCCTAAAATCCCCATCCCAGATGTTTCCTGCTTCAGGCTGCAAATGCCCCTGAATTCAGCGCCTACAAGGATGCTAAGAAATCAGGAAGTTACCCTTCCTGCCCTGCAGCATATGGAAGATGCTCCATCTGCAGAAGGAAGGGCCTATGTCCACGCCCTTCTCTTTGGCTTGCGGCCATCGCAGCTGCTGACTTCCCAGAGCAGTGCTCTGTCAGCTGGTGCTCAACACACTCGCCTGGGGTCCCACCAGCTCCTCCCTCTCTCCTGGAAGAGCAGAAGGGGCTGCTGCTCTCAGATGGCAAACATGCAGCCACAGTCTGCCAGGCACACCCCTGCTGCAGGGTGTCCTCAAATGTTACAGAGTGTGTGTGGCAGCAAAGGGGACCCGGCGAGGTCAGCCTGCACACCCTACTGTCTCTGGAGACCAGCACCCATGTTCCATCCCTTTCTCACCTCCTTTCCCACTGGAGATACATGCAAAACTGCAATTTATTCCACAAAATATCTACAGTAACATGTAGACTGGCGTTAGGGTGGCAATAACCTATCCATATCCTTACAGCTAGCTTGATGCCAACTTCCTAACTGTGGAGACTAAGTCAACATGTTCAGGAGACTCGGGCAGCCAGGAGGTTCTGCTCCCAGCCCAGAGAGGGGGCCAGGCTGGCCAACCAGGGCGGGGGTGGGGGGACAGTACTGACAAAGCCTGTAACTTTCCCAGACTGTGTTACCGCCTGGTTTCTGAGGTGGACCAGCAGACTGGTAGCTCTGAGTATAGCTATTCCATAATTAGCTTAATACTAAGTTATTATGGCCTCAGAGGAGCCTCAGGTACATTCTGACGTGAAGCCCGCGCTCACTCTGAACACCCCCCACCTGGTGTGACCAAGGGGGCTGCTTTAAAACTCACCTTTGAGGCTCCCTTCGTGGAACAGTAAAGGCCTGATCTCCGCAAACACACGTACAGTTTTTTCCATGATTTCCTTCCCAGCTCTTTCACGTGCAAAAACCCTTGAATTTCAGGATAACTACTGGAGTTTAGAAAATTCTGTTGAAGAGCAAATTTCTGAAATCAGATAATGCTACTTGGAAATAATTAAAGCAGATGTGTTATCAGCATTGCTGACATTTTGACATGTCCTGAATTACTATTCTTTTTTGGTCCAATTGAACATTTTCAAATATTTTTCCTTTCAAAAGTCTTACAAATCCCCTTAAACTGGTGTTGCCTGAAACGTAATTAGTATTTAAACACACAAGCAAATGGACCTTTCCAACACTGACAGAACAGCCACAAGCTTACGTATGGGACAGCACATTTAAGGATCCTGCCCTTCATGCTGCTGTTTCCATAAAATACCCAGTTTGATCATCGGTTAGGGCAACAGCAGTGCCAGGAGCAATGGATGAGGGGCCTTGTGGGCTTAGGGCAAGCACCCTGCTGTCATTTTCCCCATGCACACATCCCCTTGACAGGTATAAATGGTGCTTGCATGCGACCTACCCCAGAGCACATGGGCACAGCCCAGAGCAGTCAAGAGCCAGGACTGGGGGGCAAAGTTGGGGCAGTGACATTGGTGGGGACTCTCCACTGTACTGAGAGGGGACACAGCCTCTCCTGCAGGCGGATGGACCAGCTGGACAGAGCCCCCATGCACCTGGGCTCTCTGGAGTTTCAAGGAACCACTGAGCACTCTCACCAAGCACACAGCCATCTCAAATCATGCAGTTAAAAAAGCAATTAGCCATTTTGCCATCACTGTGCAAGGGCCATGATCACTAAATGTTGGCAAGTCTTGCCAGATGGATCAGTGCTGTGGCTGGAGGGCTTCAGAAGAAACCACTAGAACACAGCTCTGAGGCTCTCTCCCTCCAGAGGCCAGAGCAGTGAAAGAAAGGCTATGGATGTAATTCCGTGGGCACCAAATCTGAGTAGTTCCTCTTGTATTTGATGCCACCTGGACAGTGCTGGCTGCCTTAGTGAGTGGTTTAGTATCTCTTTTAACAGTGTAAACAGGCACATCTTAGGGACACAGCAGTGATATTTCCCTTTCTGACTTCCCTGGAAGAGTATAAGTCGGCAGTAAGCACACAGAGGACTCCCGTGCTCCCCCACTGGAAGTGGGAGTGGAGAAAGGCCAAGTTTTCTTGTAACAGAAAGCAGGACAATTAAGACAGGTGTCCTTATTTTTAATGTACAATATGTTAGTTTTTGTCGAGCATCCAGGGCAGTGGCCTGTCTGGGGACACATGCTTGGAGAGGCGCTGGGAGCCTGGCAGAGTGCATGCAAGCCTGTGGCTTCTCCATCCCGCCCTACTGCTCACATTGTCTGTAGGTCAGAGTTCAGTTTATCCTGCTTTTAAGTGCCTGTTTCACTTTGCAGGAGCCAGGTTATACAGATTTCCCCAGTAAATGTTATTTCTGGTAACTCTAAACCCCACTAGGAGCCAAGGCTGGTGCATGATTAAGGATGCAGGGGCTTCCAGTTTTCACAGGGCTGCCCCTGAAGCTTGAGGGGACTCCAGGCCGAGACTCCAGCAGAATCCTGTTCTTGCCCAATACCTGCAAAAGCTGAGCTTGACCACCGTTTGACTGTTGGCACCAAGTGACCATCTGTTCTGGGAAGAAGTTCTAAGAAAATGGGGAAAAAAAATGCATTACAGATGAGCTTCAACATTCAGGGAAGTATATGTACAAGTTGCCAGGACTAATTTTGCAGGTATAATTTTACACATTTGTATTTAAAATGATGGTCCTTTTTACTCCCTTGTCACACAATGGAAATACCTACATCCAAAGTCTGTATTGTTTCCTGAAACGTGGAAAGTTTGGAGTATCTCCTGTGCTTACTATGAATTCCTGCCCCACAACATGCACCAGGGCAGAGGGCCTCCGCGCAGTGTAACTCAGCACATAAATGTGGGGCTTGAGAGAAAGGACTCTGGAAATGAAAAATGATGTGAAAAAGTCTGTCTGGTACATTTACCATGACAGTTGTCCAACTTCTTACTTCCAAATAAAAAAAAAAAAACAGCATCACTGTCCAAACCAGCAGTGGACACTGGGTGTTGCCCTCAACTCGCTGCTCTTCTGCCTCATGACTCAGAACAGAGGGCCATGCGATGACATGTGTGAGGCCCCCGACTCTGATATTTCACAAGACAGGTGTCCCCCCCAAATAAATAAATAATTAAAAAAGGAAGAAAAATCACCAATGAGTTCTATGTACTTGGGTATTGGTTTCTCTACTCATTCTTCCACAAATAATCACAAAATAATATTTACTATTTGCAGTTTTTACTTTGATGAATATTTGACTAATTTGTTCCTGTTTAGCTGAGAACTTTCAAAATAATCGAGACAGCCCACCCCTCATCTCTCTCTCAACCTAGAACTAAGCCCGTTTCCCACGGTCACTGTAGGGAGGCGATAGCTGCCTTTGGCCAGTATGAAGCCATCGAGGTAAGCAGCAGAGACTGGGTTTTGAGCAAAGAATGCTCAGTTAGGTAGCAACTCAGATTCCCAAATCCATCTGTTACCCCCTACATCACAGTTATTTTATAATCTGCTACTATTAAAGCCAAGTATCAACTGCCAAGATATCAAGAGTTCCAAACCTCAAAGCCTAAGAGATAAGACTCACCGTAGGGTTTTTGAAAAACTCATATTTTGCATAATTCTTCCTGAACAAAAATTTACTTTCACTTGCCATGGTACTCTCCACCTGGACCACCAGCTCATGGTCTTCCAAGCACCGTTCTGCAGAGGAAAAACACGATGCATGGGATCAAACAGGCAGAACCTTCAAGGCCACTTTATAACCAATTACAGGCTCTGGCCATCTTCATGCTCCTCTTCGACCTTGCGAGCAACGATGAGGTCAAGAATGAAGTGAATTTAAAGGCCCCTTTAGTGTACGGCTGAGTACATAACAGGTCTGGACGTATGCAGTGTGAGGAATTCAGGTCAGTCCTTAACTTTAACACACTTCTCCATCTGGCATCAATAAAAAGTTAAGGAGCAAGTCAGTAAAGACTCCTAGCAAATCATTTTGCCTTTAAATCAAGAAACTTCAACTCTTGCAAAAGAGCATGGACTGTAACAGCAGGGAAAACATCCAAGGGCACAGGATAGCATGTGGTCAGTGAGCACGCAGGGGCTGTCTGAGGGCAGCTGGCTCAAGCAGCTGGCCCAATGTCTGCAGTGGTTACACAGGAAGGGATATGCTACCCCTCTAATCTGTCCACACATGCTCACGGTGAACACTGAAGCCCATGCTGTCCACATCCTAAGGGCTGTTCTCATGGCTGGATCGTACTGTTAGGGCAGGGAAGAAAACACTGAAAACTGTGTGTGCTCACATGCACACATACCACGTACATGCGCACACACCTCAAAGCACCAGTGAGCAGTGTTATCACCCTGGAAGGTGCTTCCCTCAAGTCTGAACACTGCCTCCCCCGTGGAGCTCCGAGAGCCAGATGCAGGGCTGTTCTCTCTGGTGGTAATTACACCCCCTCCCTCCTGTCTCCTGCTCTGGCTGGGTGGGGGTAGGAAACTAACAGCATTAAATAATGGAATACACAATACCAGCAAATCCACAGCAACTTTAACATGTGAACTGATGTTGAAAATGGGGCAGAATGAGATGCTACGGAAGTGACAGAAGAGGGGCAGGTCACTCCTTCAACACGTCTGCCTCCCTTCACACAGCTGGAGCTGACTCCCCAGAAGTCTCATCTTACAGGAAAGATAAGTTTAGAGCAAAAGCATTCCTAAGTCAAAGGCATCCCAGAACATGGAGGAATAATTTGTCTGCAAAGGACAACTGTGGCCAGAGGCATGTCTTGGATGGGCCACGCCGGCATGCAGAAGCACACTCAGCTGTGACCTGACAAGGAAAGGATTTTCCTCCCCAAGGCGGCCAGAAGGTTCACAGCTCATCAGGAAGGGCCAGACCTCGCACCAGCAGTAATCACAAACAGGTTGTCCCTGGCTGCGGAGGGGATCCGCTAGCACACGTGAACTGCAACACTGCCCCACGTGTACCCCTGGCAGGAGAGAAGAGCCATGCATGGCACAAACTTGTGGTGCCAGCTGCTATGCTGATTTTGAAAAAGAGGCTGCCGTACTGCCATTCATTTAATATAGATTTTCCAGGTGCAAAACGAATGACTTCTGTTGAGATTTTTATTCAGAGAACATACTTCTGTAGTTATAGGGAAAAACCACCACTATCCAATAATAATCTGCTGATGGTTGGTTTATAGAATTAAAATTTTTTGCCAGGTATAACAAGGAAAAACAAGAAGTGGGTTTGCAGCTGCCTACATGAGGACAAGACACCTGTGGAGTTCCAAAGCAAAAGGCCTGGGTCTCCAAAGTCCTCGGAGAGTCCAGGGGATGAGCGAGGGGCACCGGCTCTAAGGGAGCACACGGCCCAGCACAGGTGGGATCCAGTCCAGGACAACATCTTCCGGCCTCACTGGGCCTGCCTTGGTGAAGCCCTGGGAAAGCTGCAGAACAGTGCGAGCAGACTGTCAAGTATCCCGGGTGGTCATCCCCAGGGAGGACGGCAGAGAGAACCGGGAGCCCATGTACCCTAAAAGAGGGTGCTTGTCTGCTCTGGGTCTCTCTGGTGATGCAAGGGAGATCCAGGTACCTACCGGTGAAAACGAAAGCTGCTGCCTCAACTCCCCTGCCTACCCTCAGTGAGCAGGGGGTCAGCGGATGTCAGTGGGTGGGGGGGCTGCTTCTGACCCCTTTCCCAGAGGCCCAAGAGCTTCCTGACCTCAGTCTGCTGCCCAATGTCCAGGGCACCTGTTTTCCCAGCTGTCAAAAAGCCACCTGACAACATCAGTTCAAAGCTCTTTTTTTCACTTTTAATTTTTTCTATGATTCTAAAAACATATATTTTCAAAAAAGTGACCTTGCGTGATTCTATTGAACCATCACATCGCTATCTACAAACTTCATATTATCTACAAAGGCCTGAAGTAAAATCACAGTATTAGTTTCGCCAGGGTGTCCAAGAAGGACTTTGTGTATAAACAGAAGAGTCAGGCATTCCTTGAAGGGAATCTGTATTTTCCAAATTTTTGAAACAAAGTGCAGCATCTATGCCACCTGACTCCATATGAACAATATTAAAAAACCAGCAACTCAAAAGAGCCAATCTTACTTCATATACCTTAAAACATGCAGTGGACACCTAATTCTTTAGCAGAAGCCATCCCACCTTGCTGCTCTCCGTTGGGCCCACCTCCACCCCCCTGTCACCCAACACTTAACAGGAGAGCAGGGCTGGCCATGAGGCGCTCTTGACACCCAGCTCAGGGCTCTGCAGACTGTAAGAAACTGGGAACAAAGTAACTGGTGAGATAACAGGCTCACAGGGCCCAATAAGCAGCTCTCCTAATTACAAATTTCAGTGGGGAAAGAACATTATTGTGGTGTCTTTCAGATATAAGGATGAGGAGGCAGAGACTGGCAAGAATCAGCCTCTGAGCTTCTAGTGCACACATGGGCCACTGCTTCTCCTGGGACACCTGTCCAAAGCCTAGACGTCACCCTCCCAGGTGGCAGCCAAGCCCTCCAAAGGGCGACCAGCACACTTTTCTCACCTGACCAGGAATAAGCACAGAGCCTTAAACTGTCCAAGAAAAGAGTCCATGCTTTTTCCTCAAGCGTTCCAACCAAATTTACCCAAACAATTCCTCAAATCCTTGGAATTCACAGGAGCTGGTGTGACTGTCTTCTTTCCTGGGCTCCGTGTTTAAGTTCTGGATTTCCTGGCCGCCTGTCTGTCCTTGGGGCCTGGAGTTGTGGCCCCTGCATGCCTGGAGATGGAATTCACTTGCAATCAGTTTCAAGTTCACGGGCACACCAACATGCTGTTCTGCATGCCGAAGTTCCTGTTTTTTGAAATTCTTTTAAAAGCGGTTTGTTTACTTGCCACAGCCACAGGTTTCCTACCCCTACACCCTCTGTACGCAGGTGTCCTGGCTCAAGTGAGCCTTCCAGAGATTTGCAACTTGTGTGCTGGGGCTGACAGGATGTCCATTCTGGCTGCACTTGGTGGCTGTGTGAGGACAGTGCTTCCACGGTGGAGCCCTACACAAAATGCTGAGGGCACACTGCACCAGGCAGGCTTGTGGACATGCCCAGAGAAAGAAGAGGCCACAGAAGGGAGTCAGAACAGAACATGTTCACCCCGGTTCACCTATCACTAAGGGCTTTGCTGACCAGGACAAGGATTTTATCCCAACTTTTCAAACTGCTTCTTGTGGTAAATGATATCAGGAGGAGACTCAGACAGGCCATCTGATGTGGCTTTGGCAACAGGTACGGTTCAGGGTGAGGGCAAGAAAATCCCCATGGGCCAGAGATGCTGCGCACTGAGGCCAGCAGGCTGCCATGCCCGCTCCTCCACGGGGTGTTCCTGCCAGCAGTGGGTGGGTGGCGGCCCCTGGAGGTGCTGCCGGAGGCTGCGTCCACCCACCTGCATTGGTGGTCTCCAACTAAAAAGGGACCCACCTTGTAATGGTTCCTTGGGAGCTGCCCACCTTGCTAATCATCACTCATTTCCAGGTGTGGAAAAGGTGTACTGCTATTAAGGATCTAGTAGTAGAGGTGCAAAGATCAGTCTAGCAATTGTGCTCTGAAATCCTCAATTTTGGAGACCGCACATAGACTGAAACTACGTGTGAATTAGCTCACTTCCATCCTGAATTATTGGGGATGGGGGTAATAACCTGCCTTAATATCTGCCTTACATAACCCCAGGCATCATCTAACTGCCCGAGCCACCAGCCTTGTATGTGTGCAGGTCCCCATTAGCATCCACAACATGTAACCTAAAGAAAGTGACTTTCTGGAGGGAGTAGGGATATGGGACAGGTAGCCCTGCTCTAAGAACAGGAACACTGACTATGCAAGGAGGAGTGGGGACACCCCAGAACAGTGTCATAAAGAATTTTGCACAGGCCAATGAGCTCACTGCCCAGCTGAGGGGGCTTAATGCTTAAGTCATCTCTGAAAGGCCAGGAGTGCCCAGCCCACAGTGCCCCCACAACTGGGAATCTGACAATTGCATGATGATTAATGGATTTTCACCTAAATGTTTACTGATGTGAAAAAAAATGACAGGCTTGCATCACAATAAAAGCACAGAGAAGACAGAGGGGCAGCAATGCAAGAAGACGCTCTATGTGAATGGCATACAAGGATGGTGTGTGACTCGGTGCTCTGGAGCCCAGGCCTCAGGAAAATGTGCTCACTTGCTAGCGACACAGAAACTGGTGGGGGACAGAAGTCTGAGGGAAGAAGCTTCTTGGGGATTTCATGTGCTTGAAGTTAATTTCATTAATTTTTATTTTTGTCAATCAGGATCCAAAATTTGATCCGAGTGTTTTATTCTTTTTTCGTCATTTCACGTCTTCCTTTTTCTCCACTCTTTTACTTGATTGTATAATAAAGGATTATTTTCCCTTTTAGAGTACATTAAACCCATATGTGAATAATAAAAAATAAAAGACATGAACATACTTTCCCTAAGAATGTGCATGTATTTCTTATTTCTTCATGCAGTTGATCATTTCTAAAATCTTAATGTATAGTTTCTTTATCTATTTATCATTTTCTAGAAATCAACTGCTACCACAAATATCTGAGTTAAAATTTCTCAAATAGCCATGTATGTTAACTCTTTTGTGCATGTGTACCTGTGTTACGGGTGCTTGCTGTGGGCACAATTATAC